AGATTGAACGAAGCCCTAGATTCTTAAGTGTGACGTGACAAAGAGATTAGACGAAGCCTGAGACTCTAACGAGTGACGTGGTAAAGAGATTGACCGAAGCCCTCAAGGGTTACGTGATAAAGAGATTGACCGAAGTCTCAGATTCATACGGGTTACGTAAAAGCATAAGCCATGACGGCTAATTCTGCTATTCCCATTCGAAGCGACTTGAGGAGCAGAGAAGCCAATGTGTTGCGCTTTCATTCCCATTCGCACATATCCATTGCCATTACTAGGATATAAGCTGTAATCCTTATCGCCTCGGTCCATCTCCACTTACTGCTACTAATCTCTGATCACCACAAGATTCGATGGGTGGGGCCAAACTGGTAAAACCTCCTTTCTAGGAATTCTTCTAGCAAATTTTCACCCTTTTCCTTTTCAACCCAAAATAGATGAGCTCATTAAGCGTTAGCGGAGCATACGGGCGGATGTTCAATAAGACTGGTTTCTGTCAAATAATTTTCGGGAGCAGTACGGCGATGCGGGGGGATGTAGGGTGGGCATAGTGTTGCTATTTCACATCGACGTGTCGAGCCATCAAGTGGAGACCTGTGAAATCTTGTGAAGGCCCAAAAAATACCAAAGGTTGTGAAGACCACCTTTCAGCTGTGAAGTTTACTTGTCAGCTCTTGTAAAGTAATGAAATACCATACAAATACCATTTACCGTGGTGGCTCAACGAGCTTACTCTAGCCTCACAAGAGTTCAAAGTTACACCAAAGTGAGACTTGTAAAGTAGAACCAGTGCAGCGAAAGTGTAAAAGGCATCCCCCCCTTCGCCCAACTGCGCCGATTTTCGTAAGGGTTTAAATATATCAGGAGAATAGGGCAGCGTTCAGACTTCGCGATGGCAGCGCTTCGGTCGCGCGTTCGACGCGATCAATGCAGTCGAAAGCATGCGCATCGATCGCGTCGAACGCGCGACCGAAGCGCTGCTGTCGCGAAGTCTGAACGCTGCCTAAGGCTGTCCTATAACTGGATTGTAGCCTTCTTTTGATGTTAACAGGCGTAGCAGTGTCTGTGATAAATTTCACTTAGGACGCAGGCACTACGGCCCTAACTAGGTCAGCAAAACCAAGCATTTCTGATAGGCACCAAATCGGGGGTTGACGCAGGAAATCCGATCAAAGAATCATCAGCGGCGCATTCATATGCGAAGCGATCTCTGTCCTCACCCAGCCCGACCTTTGACTGACTCATAATCGTGCTTTCGGTTCAATAATGCGGTGGAACGCGCTACACATATAACCCATAGAAAGGATGGCTTGGGCGAGAAAGAATGGCTGAGGATGTAAGATTGGGACCCAGGTCAAAGAATTATTTAGCCTTTAGAG